GATGAATGTTAATTAGAAAAAATATTATCCAAATATTCAATGATAAATTTTTTTTTTGTTATTTCAATTACCTTAGCCGTTTGTGCATCCGAACATACAACATGTTGATAATGAATGTTAGTGTAATCAATACCCGAGCATATAGTTAAACTTTTCTGATCTATTTCCTCCATCGTCCCATGTTTACCTATTTTATTACACAATTTTGGATCCTAAAAAATTTTAAATCATTAAAATATTAAACTCTAAAACATTTTTTTGCGAACGAATCTCTCGACTTTAATTCTCAATAGTATAATCTATGTGAAAATTATTATATTATAAATTTAAAAATTTGAATATTAGGAATAAAAAGAAATATATATTGTTTTATGAAAATTCTATTATTAATAATTGCTAGAACTTAATTTTTTATTATTATTTAACTATAACTTATGATGCCTGTGACAATTCTTCCGCAAAGGGTTAACATTTAAACTAAATGAAAAATGAATCGAATATTAAATGCATAATTGTTGCAAACAAACAATCAAAGTATTATTTACCTTAGGCGTGCCGCCATAACGGATATCGCTCACTTGAGCTAATTCTATTACATCGCCATCCTGCATAAAAATGTTTCTAATTAAATATTATTTAAATGAAACTTTAAATGAAATAAATATATTATTTAAATTTTCTTTTATCACTGTGACTTTTTATACATTTTTTTTGCCGTATTCATTTCGTCAAACAAATTCATAATCTTATAATTTCTTTTGATTGAACATATACTACAGCATTTTTTTTTTTTTCAGGATATACCTTGCCGTCGCTCTTCCAATAGATGAAGAATCCATATTCATCAACTTTGAACAAACAATTGGGTTCGTATTCGGTCGTTTCCTTGTCTTCAAACCATCGATCGAACGTTGAACCATTTCTCAACAATTCTGGCACTTCGATTCGCCAATTAAACTCGAATTTCTTTGTCATGTTGCCGACTTTATGACCGGCGAGATATCCGATTTTTCTGGATACTTTGATGTGAACTTCGAATGGTATAAGACTCGAATGACTCGATTCTGCTGTGAAACAGTGCTCGAAGACTCATAATGGGATTAGAAAAATCCAATTTAACGTATGAGGATTAGCTCGAGATTGGGGAGAAATTGTCGGGTAACAGATTTTTGACTTATATAAGATGCATTAGTTTTTATTTAAAATATATATTATAATATTAATAAATAATTATTTTCTATTTCAGGGAAAAAAAGAAAAAAAAGGAAGTATCTTTTCATCGAATTATTAGCTTCGTGTTGATTATAAAATTATAAAAAATTTTATATAATTTTAAATATGAAGTTAGATAAAATTTATATATTTTTTATATATATGAAAATTGTTTTCTAATATATTTTGAAAATAAAATATTTTAGAAACAGCTTTGAGAAGAAAATAAGAATCAAAGTTTAAATTTTTACAGGTATATGGTGTTAATAAGAAATATGTTTAAATAATAATAATTGTTACGTGACGAAATTAATTAAAAAACAAAGAAACTTAACAAATTTAAAACTCGAATTTATTCAATCTTGTGAAGATTAAATCGTTTTTGAATATGTTTACATCATATTTCTTGGAGATAAATTATGAAGTCAAATTTTAAGGGAGAAGAAGATAGAAAGCTGAATAATTACGTGTTTTAATGTAATTTTGGTATTTTTTTCTATCTCTATATTTCGTTTTTTTTTGTAATACCAAAAGGTATTATCTTTATTAATTTAATTTTTTTTCATTAGTGCAATTATTGTAAAATCTAATTCATTTCTCTTTTTCTATTCTATTTATTTACAGTTTTCTAAAGAAGTTTTATAGTAAAGGGATTTTTAAATAATTAAAAGATGTCAGAAAGTACGTATACTATTAAATATTATTTATAATAAAAAAACACAAATAAATATATTATAGAATCAAATTATATAAAATTTTTCTAATTTGCACAATTATTTTATATTGTAAGATACTATTTAAATATTAATTTAAATTTTATGCTTGCTTTATATTTCTCTGCTAAAATTTCAGAAATATAATATATAATAATGAAAATAAGGAAAATCTAAGTTATAAATACATATTTAATATAACTTATATATGTGCTTGATAACAAATTTTGTATTACAGAATTTAAGATTTCATATTAAAATAAGAATGTAAGTATTTCAAGTGATCTTTAAAGAAACGTGTTTTGTTTTCATATTCCTTAATCGTGCTTACTATTATAAACACATTCAAATTATATTTAATATTAATATAAACTATAATTTAATATACAAATTAAAAAATATATAACTCAATAACATTCTTTTTATTATTTTCACTTATAAATTATATTTTTTCAAATATCGTATCTCTATAGTAAAATAATAAGACATAATAATAGAAGAATATAAATATATTTAAAAATAAGACAGGGAAGAAGTAATATGAGAATAAAATAATTTATTAAAATTCTGAATTAATTACAAATCTAAAATGCTCGATGCCATTTTCTAATTGACAATTTAATTTTTTACACTAACTTATTGTCTTTTATATTCGGCATACGACGTATATCACACTTGATATTTATTCTTATCACGTGTACAGTCACGTTGTTAACAAGCTTATGCAGCTACTTCTTGTTGCTTTTGCGTAACAATCGTTTTTATTTGTGCTACTTATCCAATAAAATGTAAAAGTACGGGAAATTAGCATTTGTACTCATTATTATATGACATATTCATCTAAATTTATATCGATCTTTAATCGCAATGTATCATTCTATTTCCATTCAATGCGTTTGCATTTTGATATCGTATCAATGTATGCATCTGTAATCAATTACAGAAGTATTCGTATCCTATACGTATCTTATAAAATTATCTTATCTTTAACTATTTAATTATTTTATTATCTTTTTATTAAAAAAAGTTATTTTTTTTATTCTTAATGAAACTTTGTATTTAGAGGATAACGAATTATACATATATTATTACAACTTTTTTTTTAGTGGAATATTATTTTAACAATTAATTAATGCTCAATATTTCATTTTTTATTTTTTCAAATATAATTTTATAATGATATGAAATAAATTTTAAATCATAAAATAAATATTTTTAAGATTAAAAACCTTTGGTTGAAACTTTTGGTGATCTCATTAAAGAAATTTTTTCGATAAAAAAATTATTCCATATATAATTTATCATGATTTGAATACGTACACAATTTCAATAAAATCAAAATTCTCTTTGAATACGAAAATAATATAGGATACGAATGTTTTTAACTGATTACATATTGTACATATTATGAACGATGTCTAGTCGAATGATGTCATTTTTCATACGTAACAAGTATAACAATGTATTGTTTCTATTTATTTTCAAACATATGCAAACTAATTATGAAGTACAATGAAATATCAAATGTTTTTATGTTTATAAAACAAGAAAGAATCATTGACTCGTTTCTATTTCGATAATGTAACTAATTTTTTTCTTATGAATGATTTCTATATTCTAACTTAACATTATATTATTTAATTTCTCTGTTCCTTAGATTTACTGTTAATTTAATCGAACTAACAAAACATTTTTTATTTTTTACAACGTCATGTAACAATTTAAAATGATTCTAAATATTACAAAGTACAGATTATTTTTTAAGTAAATAAAAGAACCAACAATAAGTAATATTATTAATTAATTGATAATCATATTTAACTTTTATTTTCTATTAACGTAATAACGTAAAATATTTATTGTTTCGTATATCTATTTTGACTTAACAATACTCGAATATATCAACTTCGATTAATTAAGTCGAATTTTGAAAAAAATTGTATACTATTTTGCATATATAAAATGTGTAAAAAAAAAAATACAAAGTATAAGGAATAGTTGTAAAATATAAAAAATATAGGTTAAAATAAAATTTAACCTTTTTTTTCTTTAGCAGTTTCCTTTAGTTAGTTTTACTTAAAAAAGAATCGTAACGTGTTTAGAATCATCTATTTACGAAGTATTCTTAAAGGTACGTATATGCATATACCGGAACACATGATTAAAGTATAAAATTGTTGATGCGCAACAGTTCTCACGATACGATTATGATTCATTTTTAATTATTCATGCGACAAATTTAAATGTGTGCGCAATGGTTATAAATATTTCTGGTTAATCATATCTTTCGTGGAATAAATTTTACGATCAACAGACATAATATCGATCTAGTTATGGGTACTTGAAAAAGAAAAAATTTTCATTTCAAAATGAAATGTTAAAATGTAAAAATGGAAAACATATGCAAGTGTTTTCGTACGCGTGAATTGTTTTAATTATATCCTCCAGCTTTGTAAAATATACCACATGTTTTACTTTTTTCATGCATAAAAAATTTATAATAAAATATATAAATATCGTAAGTCGATATCTCTTCTCGATTATTTATAAAATATAATTTTCAGAGTTACATTTTTAATTTGTTCTAATTTAAAAAAAGGGGAGGGGGGAAATTTCCATTAAGGTTCAATTTTGCATTAATATAGCATTTCATTTGTAATTTTTTTTTTTTTTTTGGTTTAATAGTAATGTAATATAATATAATTGTATCATATTCTTTTAAAATTAGGAAAAGAATTATTAGATTTTAATAAATCGTTTATATTTATCTTTTTGGATTTTTATTTAGTATTTATATATCAAATTTTAAAAAAATTCTTATACTCAATGCATTAGAAAACGTTTCAAATATCCAAAATCATCTAATTATAATTACTGCAATAAAAATTTTTTTTTAATTTTTTTACTTATTTTTTCTCTCTATCTTAATAATTAATAAATAATCATAAAAATTTGCATTATTTTGTCCTTAATGGAGTAATCTTATTAAAATTTCAATTTTGTTTTTTATAATGTTGTCGTTGTAGTAGATTTGAGCAAAAATACTTTTCTACATAATCCATAAAGTTTGTTTTCCTCGTATCGGATCCTCGTATTGCCAAGTTTTTCAACAAATGTTCTGAAATTTTTTTTTATATACAATGATGGATATAGAATCAATTTTCTTTGAATTACCATTATTTCAAGTATTTGAAAATGTTCATAAATAATTGCGAGTATTTATACTTCGCAATGAAAAAAATATTATATTGAAGAATATTGCAAGATCATAAATTATCTTATCTTTTATCTTAATCTCTAGAATTCCAAGTAGAATGATGCGAGCAACATCATAAATTAAATATTTATAATTTTCTTGTAAAAAATTTTTTGTATACTAAATTATTTATATTTTATTCAATATTAAAAAATATCCTCTGATCTAAATGATCTCTTGATATTAAAAGATTATCAGCATCGAAGGATAATACAATCATTCCGTTATAATAATTAAATTTGTTTACTAAAATTGTTAAATATCGATCTTAATATTTAATTCTAAATACTTTTTATAGTTTTCGTGTAACAAATTTACAAAATTTGCGATTCCAAAACTTAATTTTTGACAAGTATATAACTAAACCACGATAAATTGTATACTAAATAACAAAGAGCAAGAAATCAAACATCAATTCTAGCTAACGTTTTCGATTAAACATTTTCATTTCCAGAAACGTATATATATATATATAGAAGATACCCGTGTTTTCGAACGATTAGCTTTATCCCTTTACGTTTGGGATTTCGACAGAGGGGTGCTGATGCTCAATTGTATCGGACTATTCGCGTCCTGTTGTTCCTTGATCACATCCTCCTCGAAATTGTGCATGGACTCGTTACAGTATTCTTGGCCGCAAATTTTACACGCTTCGAAATGCGGCTTAATAGAGTTCCGTAATTTCTGAAAGACAAAGTAGGGAAATTATGGTGGGGCGATGGCGCGTGGAATGAAATTTTAATTGGTGGATCGCGTTATCGTACCTCTGCACAAGTGTTCCCGTTGGCTCTGATGAACTCGTAGATAGCGAAAGCGGGAATGCAAATGAGCGAAAGAGAGGCTATTCCCCAGCCGATCGCCTCTGCCCACCATGGGTACTTGTACTCACCATTGTGGTAGGTCGGTGGTTCATAATCAATTAAACTGAATACCCACACAGCCTGAAACAGTGATTTATGTGGTGTACGGTCGATATCACGATTAGTTTTCAACATAATGTTTTATTATCATATGTTAACGAGATAATGATATGTGAATTGACTTGGTGGAGAAACGCGTGATAAATAAATTCCAAATTGATTTTCGTAATTAATTAGATAGTGTAGTGTTCGTATTATTAGAAATATTATCAATTATTTTTTCGTAAATAATAAATTAAATAAAGAAAGTTGGTAGTTTCGCAGTTTCTTATGATTAATGTAATGGTAAATATAAATCTTTTATATTTGTAAATATTTTTTGAGAAAATGACTTTTTAATATTAGGTATCTATTATTATCTACATTATATATTTTACATATTTTGTTATGTCATGGAAAAATATGTGTCAAGGTGAATTCGTCGTCCATGTTATGTCAGTGTTTCTTAATATTTTTTAGGGCATGGTCCACTTTTATTATATATAGTCAAATAAACGTGGCTTGATTTTTTTTTCTCATAATTATAAAAGAATACTTTTAATAGGTAAAATAAATTTAATATTTTTTTTCAAATAATAATAAATCACACATAAGAATCAATGAGAAATTGATAAAATAATAGTGTACATTGTAACAGATACAAAATATTTAATATTTAATAATCTTTCAGTATTCGTGATATAATTTATTCTATGATCAAATAATCATATTAAAATAAATAAATGCATGAAAATTTTCATGTTAAAATGATCTGTATTAATAATGTAGAAATAATCGTAGTGAATTCTTTAAAGATCGTGACTCATAGGTTAGGAAATATCTTAGGAATGACCTTCAAAATTCTACAAGGTTAGAAATGAAAGAAATATTTTGAATATTTTATCAATATGTTTACGAATATATTTATTCTTGAATAATATATTTAATATGATTTATTTATCTTTTGTTATTGTTCACGATCAAAACATATACTTTTGTTTTTTTCTATTATAAGACAATTTTAACATTAGCATGATGAGCAAAATATATAAGTAAAGACATTACTTTTTAATAATCATTTTTATATTTATATAAATTTTTTTTTTTTGTAATAATATACTTTTCCTCAAATATTTAAATACGTATTTGTATTTAAGTATTTATGAATACAATTTAAACAATTTAAAATAATGAATTTAATAGTTACTTATTTAATTTAATTAGTTATTAGAATTTAATTTAATAATTATTAAACTTTGCTTTTTAAAGATCAAAATATTGACAAATAAAAATTTCTAGTTTTAATATTTATAATATATATAAACAAATATTGAGAACTTTGTATATTTTATTTATGTATGTCATAAAATATAATTTACGACTTTGTTTTTTAATTATTTTGAGAAAAGTGACCTCTAAAATATTATAAATTTATATATGTTTGTTCCAAAACACATAAAATTGTTTTCAAAATTTTGTCATAACTTATCAAAACTCAAATAATTTGTTATATTAATAGATAACACATAAGCATTGAAATATTAAATATTAATACAATGAAACATGAACTTGATTAATTTAATTTCGAGTGATAGTGATATTTTTATAATTATGTGATATACATTTTATTATGCTTTAATCTTTTAATATTTTTTTTTATTAAATATGAAATATATTCGACAACAGAATTTTGAATAACGTCAAAGGTAAAATGCAGAAAATTCATACGAATGTTATTCAATCGTTATAATCTAATTAATAATTATTTTAATAATCGTTAATATTTAATTTATTGCAATTCAGTTCTTTGTTTAGCTTTAATAAAATTGTAATTAACTTTACCATAATAAGAAAAGGTGCAGCGATGAGCCAACAAAATCGGAAATACGAGGACGGTACGCGTCCTGTCATTTCTTTCACATTATTGCACAATCTTCGTACGCCATAAAACCAAGATATCGCAATTACTTCAAAAAAGGCTAAAAACATTATCGATATCGAGGCAGCATAATGATCTATCAATTGGAAAAAATAAATCCCACCCTGTAAATAGAAATGATGCAAATTTTATTAATAGAAATATAAATAAAAAAAGAAGAATAAAAGACAGAGAGGGAGAGAGAAAGAGAGAGAGATTTTACATACTAAAATAATTTGCTATATAGAAAAAATTTGAATATTTTTTTATATGAATTTATTATTCATAATAATAATAAATTTAATATTTTTGTCTCCTTTCAGTATTATAATAAGAACCAATAAAGTTATATTATAGAAATAAAAATATTAAAACAACAATATTTGAAAAAAATGTATAATTTTGAGAATAATCATGTTATACGGATTTCACATGTGATTGATTAACACAATATCGACAAACAAATTTAAGAATTAAGTTTAAATTTAAATTGGAGAATAAAATTCATTCTATTAAAAAAATGTTTTACCTGCGAGATATTAGGTAGGCCAAACAAGAATGATATAACGCATACTAAAAGTACTAACATTTCATGACACGTTAAATGACGTTTTACCCATTTCGGGAAGCCATCTTGTATCGATGTTACAACAACTTCCACTATTGCAAACTGAAATTATCGTAAAAATTATAATATAAAAAGCAAACTTATTTATTCGTCGTTAATTTATCTATTCATTAATAATACTTTATTAATTATACAAGTGATATTAATTAAATAAGAGATCGTCACGTACCTGACTATTCAAAGAAAGACAGACTAGCATAAAGAAAAATAACACGGCCCATACTTGCGATGCTGGCATCTTGGCTAACGCTTGCGGGTAAAGAACGAATACGAGGCCAGGTCCTTGAACGGAAATTATGATTTGTCTATAAAATTGTAGGAGAAGTTAATCTGACATTGATTGGCACCAAGATAAAAAAATTATTTTATTATATTTTATTAAATAATTATAAATTGCATTATAAGATAATATTTTATTTTTGTTAATAAAATATAATATTCAAGAAACATAGAATTTACTTTTTTCCATTAAATTTAATAAGATGAAAAAATACTATCATTATCATAATTCAATATTTATGAATATATAACTAACTACAATACGTTTTCTTTTCGATAATGTAATATTAAGATTGAAATTATAATTGCTAAATAAGAGATAATAACTTTTTACGTACCATCTGTTAAAACATCTTCGACAGACATATTTTGTTCGAGAGCAATGTTGCCGATAGTCGCAAATGAAAATATTCCAACAAGTAAGCTGCTAAAACCGTTTATGAGCGAAACAGCCATAGTGTCTATTAGGATGGTGTTATGGAATTTGTTGTAACTCGCAAAACATATCATCGAACCAAACGCTATGCCCACGGAATTGAAAATTTGAGCGGTTGCATAGATCCAAACCTATAATATATTTTAATATTTATTATATATAATTTTCGTGATATGTTACAATTGTTAATATAAAAATTTTTATTTAAAAAGAACACGATATTATTATTTTTAAAAGATTATAAGCGAATTTTGAATTTTCTCATAACAATTTTTTAATTAAAGAAAGAAATTATTCAACATGATATGTAATAAAATATATTTTTATATTATATTACACTGATTACCTAATTAATCAGAAAGAATAAACTGATGCAAGAATATTTTGCTCGTTTTTAATAATATTGAAAAATGTTTCAAATAAATATCGAATGATGCAGAGAAGCACATAATTTGATTAATAACTTTTTTGCAGATATATAACATATAAACATATCGTGTGAAAGAAATGAGAAAAAAAATGATGTTTTTCTTGTTTTTCATACCAGTAATTTATAAAATAAAAATGTATCAAATTAAAATATTTTCTAAATTAAAAATTTTATTTCAAGAAAAAAAAAAAAAAGAAGACCATCACAATATCTAATTTTTACGTGTCAATATTTTTTTCTGTCGCTAAAACCAAAAGAGATGTTCAAGATGATCAAAAGTAATTTCGTTCGCTCTGTACTCGATACAGAGTTTCGCGTTTAAAATATCCCAGATCTTGAGTAATATTTTATCAAGTAACATAGTACGTATCTGTCATCAAAGAGCGAGGGGAAAATTCTTGGATTACCTTCGCGTCGGCGAGCAGCTCCCAACGAGGGTGGAAGAAAAATTGCAGACCCTTGTCAGCACCTTCAAGGGTAAGGGACCGCATGAGGAAGACGACGATTAAAAGAATGGCAGAGTCGCGGTCAGGTATCTCACTTGTGCCGATGATTTGATGGACTTCCAAACGGAGAAATATACCATGATCCAAGCGGTGATCAGACAAGCAATCAGTTCCCATCTTAATGGCCCTGATTCTTCGATTCCATTACTAATTTGGAGTACTTTGTTGCTAAATTGACGAACAAGACAAGAAATAAATAAATTGATTCAAAATTGATTCTAAATGTCGAATTGTGATTAACTCTCGCATAGAATATTTATAATTGAATTAATATCGAAGAAGCTGTTCTGACTCGTGAAAAATTTATTTTATTAAAGTCAGAATGATTTTCGACGAATGATTTTACAATTAAAGAAATTACTCGAAAAATTCTTCTGCCGGAGTTCTCGAAGCGTTTGGTCTTGTTCTATTATCGATGCCACTGTAAGTAGGTAACCAGCATGCCAATGTGTTCCATGAATTTTCGCAGTCGGACCATGGTTGCTTTGCTCTGAACGCCGTAAAGAAATAATATATAGCGTAGGCTATTATGACGTTATGGTAAGTCGACATCAAAAATGATATTACTACCGAAGACAAGCCAGCTCCTGTTTCGAAAGATAAAATTAATTCGTTTTTTATTTGCTTTATGAAGAAATTATAATATTATAATATAATGAATTATATAATATTACTAAAAAGAAAAAAAAAATTTCAATATATATTTGGATCATATATAGTTATATATTTTGTAATAGATACATATGTATGTTGATTTGAAAATCATATAGAAAATATTTAAAATTATATTTATTATTAAAATTTGTATGCTATACTTAATTATTTATATCTTTACATATATTTATATCTTATACATTTATATATTATTATAATATATTTTAGAAAAAATATAAATTAATTGAATACTATTATTATTTCATATTTTAAAATATCTTTTAGTTATCTTAAGTGAATGTATAATGTAATAATAGTAAATATATGATAAATGAGTCATGATTCTTACAAATTAGATAGATAGATAGATAGATAGATTCTTATTAAATTATTATGTTTGAAGCCATTAGTGCATGAACTTTTTTTTAATTATAAAAATAGAATTAGAAACTAATACTCATCTTTGGTGCAATAAACTTTCTGAGAACACTTAGAATATATAAACTTTTCAGATTTTTATTATTCTTCATTATGTGAGATATTCATTTTCGTTATTATAAATTTAGAATTTATAAAGATTATTATTAATTAATATTCGTGGAATAAAATTTTTGATTGAGGTTTATTTATTAATTATAACTTATAAGCAATTTAAGTTTATATTAAGTGAAGACTACAGTGTAACAAAGATAGAACTGTCTCACTCTTTCAACTTCACTTCGTTTAACTTCAATTGCTTATAATTTAATAAATAAGCTTCAATCTTTCTATATGTATATCAACTTTAATGTTTTTAATCTCTAAAATTTGAAAAATAACTCATGAATATTTTAATGTCATATAATAATATTTTTCTTTTAATATTTAATTATAATCTAATTATAATCTAAAATATAGATATTTAAAAGTATATTAATGAATTTCTTCAAAATTCTTTATAATGTAAGTGTATAATAAATTTGAAGAAATAATTTTTTTATTCAAATATCTATACATATTTCTCTATAAAAGATATAATATTTCTATAATTTATAAAATTATAAAATACCTTTAAATAAAGGACAGATTTGACCGAGAGCACCGATCGGTCCTCTTCGTGTAAATTGTCCAATACTAAGTTCCATATATAATAATGGTACTCCACATACTATAAGTATTAAGAAGTAAGGTACCAAGAACACACCTGAAAAATTTTATAAAGTTCAAATTCAATGATTTATAGATTATCTTATATTTTATTAGATTATCTGTTTTCTTAATTATTAAAAGCAAAATTAATATTAACTTTTAATTTAAGATTAAATTGTGATTATTAAAGAGAATAATTATAATATGTATACAAGTTACAAATTGAATATAATTTATAATATCTAGTAAATAGAATCTTCTAAAATAGAATTCTATATGAATATTTTCAAAATTGTTGATAGTGCAAAATATGCATGATTCAATATAAATAATTAATTTATAGCTGGATTTATAGAAAATTTATGAATTTTATTTCTTTAAACATAATCATATATTCCTGCTAAACAATTATTAGTTTAAGATGTGAATTCTCAATTTATAAATCATAATTCTCAAATAGATTGTAAAATGAAAAAATTATTTTTATTATAATTATATAAAAAATTCTATAAATTTTCAGTATTTGTTTATTTCAATACAACTATCTATCATTAGGTAAAAAATATATTTTTATGTAATTATAAAAAGAGAGAAGGATCGGATTAAAAAATCTTTTCAATATTTTAATACGATTCATTATGATTCATCATAGTAAAGATTAAGCTATTACGTTTTAGTGTAACGTTTCATATATTTTCTCACAGAGGAGGAAATAACAACTTGGATCGTTTAATGCATCAAGAGATACATATATGATTCTATTTAAGAAGACATATTTGACCTTTGTAGATTTTTTACTCGTCCACTTACAAAAACATTAATAACAGCAAATTATATTTTTTTTATCTGGAATATTTTTCTTTATCAACAACTTTGAAAATATCACTTAATTAAAACATTTTTTAATTATAGATACGATTCTTCGAATTGTGCACGTTCAATTATTTAATTTTTTGATAAATTTTTCAGTACCAAGATATTTATAAATTACGCACATTTTTTTATTGGATCTATTATATATATATATATATTTTGGATTATTTTTTCCTCGTATTTTTCTAATTATTGCAATTTTTCTAATTTTCTTATTTTAACCTTATTTTTTTCTTATTTTTTACATTATCAATAAGACGTGTCATTTGAGTTTATTAAGTTTTTTTAATATTTTAAAATGACTTTTCAAAAAGTTTACAAAAAATTCCGCATTAGATTTGAATATTATAAATATTAGATGTAAATATTACAATATATTAGTTCTCGAAAAACTATAAAATAGGAATAAAGCATACGTTTTAAAAGAAAAATTTTAATGAAGAGTTGTTTAATTAATATAATCAAATAAGTATAAACTAATTTCAATGTAAGAATGTAATCTATTCACAATATTATATACATATATATAGTATAAAGAAGTATATAAAGCTCTCAACATTAGATTATTTTTATATATGAAATTTCTTATTATTATTTATACAAAAAAAAACAATTGCTCTACAATTTTTTTATTAAAATTTTTTTAAATATTTAAAAATTTACCTAATTATTAATTAAATATAATACATTTTACTACCATTTTCTACATTTTAATCCAATTTATAATTAAATTGAAAAATCGATTAAAAATTCGAAATTTATTTCATCGTCTTAAAAATAATGAAACTCTTATCCAACCGATAATATATTCCAACGTTATAAATAATTCATCATCTTATGATCCAATACTTATGCGATTAAACGCTTCCTTCTTTAATCTTTTTTATTCGTACATGAAATAAAAACGCTGTTACTAAATCTGCGTGTAATGTGGATTTATTAAAGGTTGCATTAAACACGACTCATACGTAATAGTACTCGTTAATCGTCATTCTGTGGGCAGTAACAAGGTCACTGGATGTAACTCTTTATTCGTAATAAACGGTGATCACAGTCCCGTGGATTACGACTTAATTTGGGAACAAGCATTTAGTTCGACTAAATTGTTGAAATATGTTATTGTTTTTCATAACAGATCCCATACCCATAAATTTTTCCAAATCACAAATCATCATATCAATAGGTTTTCTATTGTCATATATAATATTAATTGGTGGTGTCGTAAGATTTAATCTGTTGAATTAGGAAAATTTATTCTCTTGACGAATGTACTTTAAACTTTTCTGTGTTAATGAAATCTTTCAAATAATGAGAAATTATTGTTGAAAAAAATCGAGTTGAAAATAAATAAACTTTGATTAAAAAGAATTAGAAATATTTTGTTAAAAATTATTTCTAATATTATTCTTCTTACTAACAAAATTATATTAATTATGATTATTTTCAGCAATATTTCAAATAATTAAATATCTATAATATAACATAACTAGAAATATTTTATTAAAAAGGTATTTTTTATATTCACAAGTAACAAAATTATTAAATTACTTATTTTGTTTTATTTTTATCCGAGCTTTTTCCATATAATTATTTATATAAAAATATCCTATGATAAACTCAATGTACCTATCGTAAAAATTTGCTTTCTGAATAATATAACCATTGTTTCCGGTTGTACCATTGAAATAATTCGTACCGCATCAGTGCGCCTCACGCATATGTAAATTAATTCCGCGAATGTTGTATCGTGCCAGTCGGACAAATCAGACAGCAGTCTCTGATCTGACTTTGTGATTCATGTTGCAATTTAATAAGATAACCATTTCGATGGACATTGTAAATTTACGTTGTAAACAGTGATATTTTCATTCTTTATTTCTTCGTTTGAACTTTGAAAGAATTTTTTTTTTTCATCTATTATACTCATAAATATCCACTTAGATGTAGTTAACTTTTTAATCGTGCGAGATAAAAAAAAGAAGCTTGAATTAAAGATTTATAAAAAAAAAAAGATTTAGAAAAGGAAAAATTTTTACATCTAAAATGATTAGTTTATTTTGTGCAATTGAAAAAAAAAAAAAAAGAACAAGCAGATATCTGCAACGATTTCGAAGAAAATAGTTTTTAATACTTCACGTAAATCACTCTGTATATCTCTCCAAATAAAAGTGATAACGTTAATTTCCATGGAATTTTCGTTCCTTCCTTTCAGAACGATTTTCCCACGAGAACGTAAATGAACACAGGTCGTATAAATACACCACGAGCTTCATGCAAATCAGAGTACTCTATCTCGTGTTTTACAAATCTTCGTTTCATTTAATCCTCTTTCAAAAATATTCTTTATAATTCTTTTAGGAAAATAAAATATTTATATGATATTTATATGATAATATAATGATCTTCTGAGAATTAAAACCAATACAATTTTTCATCTTCATTAAAAATGTTATATTATAAACAAATTCTATATGTTATTTTTTTTTTAATTAATTTTGATACAGTATTCGTTTATTATTGTATTCTTATATTTTATTATCTAGAATATACCAGAGAAATAAATAATTTGCTTTTAATAATAAATTATTTTAATGTTAAAATTATTATTTCTTAAGCTGTTATATATAAACTACATAAAAATCATTGCATTAATTTAAAAAGAAATACTAATTGAAAAAATATATTTTTTTATATTATTAATTAAGTTTTAATTTCAATTTTTGACAAAATTTCAAACTATCTTTGATTTACAATATTAAAAAAATTGCTTTTTAATAACGATAAAAAATAAAACTACACAATTCATTAATTTATAGCTATTTTATTGATAAAAGATATCATTTTCTATTAAATGCAATTCTGCATTCTTATTGCACAAAACAATCCAAAATCTAATATCACAATAAATCGCTTGTTTTTTTTTTTTTTTATTTGCACCTAACCTTATACCATACAATAGAACACTATTTATTAGCAGCAATTAATAAAATAAAAATATTTACTACAACCACTGCAATACAGAACATTTGGAGCAATATTCCCAAAAGAGATTTCACAACTTTACTTTACTTTACGTATTACCTAAACTAAAAAGTCAAATATCTTTACATTATACTCTTAAAAACGAATCCCCTCCCGTCCTCTCCCAACATCTTCAATTGTTTCGTTTCCAACTATTCGAATCGTTTCATTATCCCATTTAATTTCGTTTAATCAAAAACATAATATTTCAATTACTAATCACACATAACACTAACAGCCCGTTTCCGCTCGGCTTCCAGCCTCCATTTCCATTATACTTATATGACAATTAAGCCGAAAGTTTGAACCTAGCCTAACCACCATCACAGCTGGATCGCAGTTTGTTATTACGAAGGGAGCGTGTCAGTTGGCCATGCTGAAATCAAATCGTGCCACACGCTCTGGTTTTCCGGCCGTCCAATTTAAACGGTTGGTCGAAATGATACTTGACCGATTACTTCCACCGGTGTCATTGAAATCATTTGCTATGCTCGCCGGTTTAGCTGCGTTCCGCCAAGGTCATGTATCAAGTTCCGCGAGCGAATTGCCCCCATGTCCGGGCTCAGCTGAGATGCTCTCACAGACTTTGAAAATTACCGGTAACACGAGATACCGCAACTCGTGTTACGGTTTCCCGAACCGAGAGAATGCGTGCCCTTGCTTTGGATACACGTGCGCCATAATGGCGAGCAAAGAGGGATGTTGGGGAAAGAAAAAAATGGCGGCGAATCGCCTTGAAATCAGACATTCCTTTCATATAGGAGGAATATTCTTCTTCGTTTCTTTGTTCCGCGTTTTGTAATTCTTTAATCGCGTGTTCATCCTCGTTTTTTATACGTTGTTCAAGATTGTTTCGAGAAATCTTTTAATTGAGACTAATTTTAGAATTGTTTTGGAGATGAATAATAAATAAATAAATAAGAGTGATTTAAGTTTAATTTAATTTTTGGTTTAACTGGTTCATAATGGAGTATACAAAAGATCTCGTGAAACATTGTTCAAAATTGTTCTGTATTATAGTAATCATTAAAATAAATGTTTTTATTTGTTAAATTTTCTTGCTTTATAAAGTATCTTTTATAAAATAATTTTATAAAGATACAGAAGATACGTGCTCTTTCGTTCTATCATTTAAAAAATATTGAATTGTATTAGTGTAGTGAGAAATATAAAAAGTTTATTACAGTTTTAAAACGTAGAAGAATTTAGATTGGATAACACAAGAAAAATTATTATTCTACATTTATTTTTGATAAATTATCTAGTAATCTTATTCAATTACTAGTAATTTTTTTATAGTATCAGAATGTAAACATTTACTAGATACTTGTTTTATTGCGATAAATATTAAAACATTCAATACTACTTTTAAATCAAAGAATGTTTATCATCATAATATTAAGTATGTGTTATCTCGTGCAGTATTGCGTGCTAAAATTAGTAATGTTAATCAAATACTTCTTTTTTCTAAGCAGATTTTTTTCTTTATTATTCATGTTGATAAAAAAATATATAATATATTTTAATTTTTATCAAGAAAATGAGTAGGAAGGAATAATTATATTTAGGTAATTAATATCTGAATCTTTAGGTGATCAATTATTTGAATTTGAACACTTGGGAATAACATTAAGACTTCGCATTGTACAATATTTGGCTTAGAACGATTTTCTATTTATTAGTCTATTTTTCACTTAAGTGACACGTTTCACACCGGCAATGTGAATAATAAACACGTATTCTTATCACTGGCACACTAATCGTAACAGACGTATGTATGTCACAACGACAATCTAGCTCGTACAAATTTGTTTTAAACTATCTGTTTGAAGTGCTGTCGTATATATTATGAGAAAAACGTTATATACAGTAGCTTTTACTGATTTTTTTTTTTATTGCCATTCGCGTATTTCTATTTTTTACGTAGAAATTGAATAAATATTAAAATGATTTATTATAGGAAACAACGAAGATTTTATCTTGTGTAAAATTTGCATGAAGAATATTTGTTACCCTCTCAAGAGCATTTACAAGTGAAATTATGCAAACGCATGCAGATACTCACCACCGCCACTTTTGTAACACAGGTAAGGAAACCTCCAAATATTACCAAGGCCAACAGAGTAACCGATACAAGCAAGGACAAATTGCATTTTGTTGGCCCAATGTGGTCGTCTAGATTGTCTGTAGTCTCCTGGGTCCTGAGCGTCATCTTCAGCATCGTCGAAGCTGGTACACACGGACAAGTCATCTTCGAATGATCTGAAATCAGGTCGATATTACAGGTACATGAATTATCTAAAACAGAGAGTTATCAATTTTTATAAAAATTTATATTTTTCATAGAAACATATTCCGTAATATTTTGAAATAAAATTCAATGAAAAGTGTTACAAGTCAATATCTTCTTGAAATATAATCAGTCACGGAAATATTCTTATATTGCTTACACGAAAATATTCGATTTTAATTGAAATTTATTGAAAATTTGTGTATGTGTATAGAATAATGGATTATTTATGGTCGACAAGAAATCTTTTCGATATTTTTTACAACAAAGTATTAAAAACTAAACATTTTAACAACAAATTCAAATTTTGCCCCATTTTATTAAAAAAAAAAAACGAAAAAAGCACTGAAGTTTTCAATTGAAAATAAAAAAGAAATGTAAATACAAAATTTAAGAGATTAAATTTTCTGTAACTGAGTGTACATATATTTGAATATTTCACGAATTCTATATAAATGAATAAATTAATTTATTTTTTAATTTTTCAGGAATATTCGTAGACTTGAATTATTATCAAAAAAGTAATTTAAAACATTTTTTATTTATTTTTTAATAACGCACATTCTATTTTGGATTAATTTCCTTTGAACTTTGTTAAAAGATAATAAATGAAATATATATCATTCAGATAAATTTTTTTTATAAAATCTATTATTCGATTTGCATGTAACAATTCATTCGATAAAAATTACATATATTGAAGGTAAATTGAATTTACATAGAATATATTATTGTAACGAATGATTGCATTTATCATAATATTCAATACACTCTGCTTTCGATCTGAGAACAACATGTTTTCCATTAAATGATAATAATATTCATCACATTTTACGATTGAATTTTCCTCAGGAAAAATAATTTGAAATTGATTATTTCCATTCAAATTATATTCACAAATTCTTTCTATATATATATACACACACACACTACTGAAGAAAATTTTCGAATCCTATTTTCTTTATTTTCTGTTACCAGCAATGCTACACATAATCTTACGTATTTCAACAAATTCTATATTCAAAAAATTTTCTGCTCCAACAATATCCTATCCCCTTTTTTTCTATTTCATATTTTAAGCAATACACAATTCTAAATTGGACAAAATTCCAAACGTCTGATCGGTAACGTAATCCCTTTTCTTACGAAACATTTTCTGGCAAACCGGTTACCTCGAAACACGGTTTCTCCTAGACGGAAAGAATTCTAAATCAACGGAAGTTTTTAGTATTTGATTTATCGTGATCGTTAAGAGGACGTGGAAAAAAAAAAATTGATCACGTTGACGGACATCGACGGATAAAGAAAGAAGAAAATCGAGGCTGTGTAAGGGGCCCGTATTATGATTAACGATCGTGCGAAACAGGGGTATAACGGTAGCGATGAACGACCTTGATACCCCGGCTATTATATAACCGGTATGAAAGAATGAAGAAGAATTTTTACGAGTTTATCGCGTATCCACGTGTGTCTGTAGGGCATAGTGAATGCAGAAAATGCCGTTGTGACACGGCGAGAGTAATGGCAATTGGCAGACCTCGATAATAACAAATACGACACACCTGTGTAAATTCACCGGCCACTTCGCAATGTAAAAACAATACAATGTACGCGACCTATATGACAATAATAATAAGTTATTACATATACATATTTACGCGTCATAACTAATTGCAGAGACTGTAGTTTTCAAGCGTAGACGTAACACACTCATTGCACAATGTGGCGCGTTAACAGTTGTGAAAATATCCGTAAATATACTCTCCGTCTCTCTCTTCTTTTTTTTTTTTTTGAAAATACGTGAAATTTAATTTGCAATCTCAGACGTGATAATGAGTCGGTGTGCACAATTTTCGAAGAAGAGTGTAAACGTACGAATGTTTCAATTACAGAAGGAATATAGGAATTCGCATTTGTAGATGAATTTACTAAAATAATAATAATAGTGTTTATTTAATAAATAAAAAGCGCGTGCATCTGTGATTGTAAGAAGAAGTAACGATGATTCGAATTAATTTTGAAGAGGGTTACGAAGCTAAAGTATATAGTAAATTTTAACTGGAAACAAATCAAACAAAAAAAAATATATATATATATTTGATTAACGTATCGGGGTAATAAAACCGCCGTTTGTTTAAGAATTGCGAATGACATGACCGAAATTGAAATCAATCAATTTATGATGTGTAAACTCATTTATCACGCGTTTAATTAAACATCTGGTTATTGATTTAATAAAATTTACTTTGAAGTTATATGCGGATATAAAGATAAATATTTCCATCTTACGATTTTATCCTATTTTTTACTTTCAAATATTTCGAACACTCTGGTCAAACTTAAGTTCTTTCGTTTCGAAACGAAAGTAATATTTCCTATAATTTGTCAGAAACGAAACGGTTCGTTTCTTACGTCTTTTCGAGACGATCTGCAATAAAGAAAGCTTGATAAAAATTCTACGTTCATGAGTACCCTAAACGCTACTAACGATAAGAACTGTCGATAGAGCAGTGAGATATTTCGATGTAAGTGTAAATTTCATTCTTAAAGAAGTATCCTCGAAATAAACAAATCGATGATAATTAACTCCAATATTTAAACAAATAAGGAATATTTGTTTCTCAACCGCAAATAATCTCATTGAAAAGATTCTAAAACAACACAATAACGACAGGTAATTAGAAGAGTGATTTCACGTCGAATTCATTACCGCCTCCCATAGAAATTTCAAATGTGGAGCAGCAATTATGACCCTTTAAACGATCCACTCCGATTTCAATGGAGGAAGCGAGGCAGCTACAACAATATACCGCATGAACACCTACTTATAACAAAAGTATGGACTTACATTGTACACCTATTATCCACTTACGTCTCTGGGACAATACGCTGGAATTGCGGTGCCTGGATGACGAGACCACGCTTCACAAGCAGTTCGGATGTACGCGGCATCTCTTGCCACCGAAATCTTGGCTTAGACAGGCATAACAACTCGATTTGCACCGATACGGAGGAGAGGAACCACGTATCTCGCTTATATTATATGTATATTCGTTCGTGGAAGAGCACTCGTTCCAACGCGAAATGCAATTGGCTAGGCACACTATTTTTCAATATTTGCTTTATGAAAAAGAGTTTAAGATAACTGGAACTGAGTTATCGGGAGAGAGATGGAAAGAGCGAGGCGCGTCTTTTGCGAATCGAACGAATGCACTGGTCTCACACTTTTATGAAATCAGATCACGGCGAGGAAGGGAAAATAACGTCGTATGTTGTTTGCTTTTATCGTTAGGTGGCGGATGCGAATCGTACTACGGGATCAACAAACATATTCGACTTCGACTCGTTCAACTCGAGATTATGATCACGCTTTAACGTGGAAATATTTTGACGACCTCATAACGATATCTATATTAATCTAATTAAATAAGTACGTCGATCGTGATTCGATGAAACGAGAAATTGAGATATTTTGTTCCTTTCGTCGATGAAAGATTATTCCAATCGGCCGTGATATATCAGAGTTATCTATAATAGAGCAACGATAACTTTCAACGTTCCATGCATTTTCGTTTAACTTAATAAGATTTTAATTGAACTCACTTCATTGCCACAGGCATTCCTCCTCTAATCGACCTCATTCAAATTGCTGTTGCACGAGCAGAAGGAACAAACAAACGATCAATGATCTTCAACTAACATCATCGTCAATTACCAATTATCACAACCATCACAACCAATTAGATAGATCCAACTGCCAAGATAACGCCTATCTTATCTAACGAGTCCCCTAGCCTTCCTAGCCTCTAGCCTCTAAGTCTCAGAGCCAAATCCTCTTCCGGAGTAATCCCCGGCCAGTATGGAAGCCTTAAAGGCAACGAAACCGCATGCGGAGGAAGTCGGGCAAGGAGGAACTACGGAACATGATTCATAGCCTTCCGACGTTTCTCGTGGCGAGACGTGGCGCGCACGTTAGATAATGTGGCTCACTTACGGCGGCGGATGTACCATGTTAAGCAGCTCCGACGGCGAAGTGAGAACTCTACGTATAGTGAGCTTCCGCCCGTTGGAAGAGCCCATGCCGATCGATGCTAGAGAGCGTATAGAGACGGAATCGGGAAGCGTGCGGACGTGGGTCTGCCCGTTTCCGTCCGAGAACACGATCGATGCCCAGCTGGCCGCCGGTGGATGATACTGGTGATGGTGTTCATCCATCGTCGGGTTAGATTTCACCGATCTCACGCTGGAGCAACGATACGAACGTCCGCCGTCGATCCCCCGAGCAGAGGACCTGAGTATACCCTGAGGATTGTCGCGATGCAGCCTCGCGGCCTCCGGTTGTTGACCGACCTGGTCCCCGGATCTCGATTGTTGGAGGCGGGAGTACGCCCTCTCGTGGATGCTGTTCCCGCTGTCGTTGCGGGGGATGGGCTTTCTCAAGCCGTTGCAGTGGTGGAGGTTGCTCGAGCTCGAAGGGGTGATGGCGATCTTTCGATGATGGGCGGCCGAGTCGGCGGTGCTCGACAACAGGCGGCCGCTCTCCTCGACAGGTGAATCCGAATCGGCGTCGTGATGATGGTGATAATGGTGGTGGTGCCCTATCCTTATCGCGTCAGGATCCATATCGTCCGAGGCATCCTCCTCCTCCGGCATCGTGCTCATCTTGCGCACGCAGCTGCTCTGCTTGCCGATCACGCTCTGCAGACGAGCACTGTTGCCGTGCGCGCCCGTCTTGGCCGCGATCGTGTTGTTGCTGTCGTTGCCGTTGACGCCGCTGTTGCTGTCCGTGGCATTCATGATGGCATGGCGATCTAATGGCAGAAAGAGAGAGGAGGAGAAGAGCGAAAAGACAGAGACGCGCGGGAATAGCGATCGAGTCAGAGAGGCTGGCGAGGAGGGGGGGGGGGAGGGGGAGAAGAGACGAGGATAGAGAAGGAGGAAGAGAGGGAGGAAAAGAATTTACACGGAATACTTGCACGAACTTCCGGTAATTTCATCGATGCAAGGAAACGCGAAAACGTTCACGTTTATGGTGGGGGCTCGTTAAGAGATTCGATTGAATTCTCTTACCTCGTTGAATCCCGATGGAAAACTGGTCGAAACTTTTGCGGTATTCGTAATTTTTATTTATTTATTATATACGTTCCAACGGACAATCGCTTGGAATTTCGAACGAATTATCAATTTCATACGATGATTTATTGCTATAAACTTTTATAATTGTGTCGTGATACAAGAGCTAATTATTCTTATCTCTATTCGATGGATCCCCGCATATTTGTATATATTTATATATATTTATAATATGCAACAAGTGCACGGAGATAAAGTAGCATTAAATACGTGTATAATCGCGTAGCATTGAGCATTTATCCGTGGTGTACCAGTCACAATAATAATGATCGAACGAAGAGAACCGAATCCTATCATCGTTTCACAACATTCATAAACGTCGAGCTGAATGAAAACGTTGAGTCTGAATCGTTGCAGCAATTTCATTCAAAAATAACTCGAACAAAATCTCTTTCTCATTTCTTC